TTTGTCAAGTTTCTTTCTGGTTGTTCTATCCATTTTTGAAAGCAGTGTATTAAAATCACCCACTATTTTTGTAGATTCATCTATTTCTTTCTTCAGATCTATTAGAGTTTGCTTTATATATTTTGGTGCTCTTTCATTGGGCGCATAGATATTTATTATGGTTATTTCATCTATGTGGCAAATGCTATGAGTTTTACATTGGTCTATATTGAAAGCAAAAGGCTTGCTTTTTACCCTAATTTAATGTTCTTTTATATAGATGGAGAAAGAAAAATGAATGATAGCTTGGAAGATATGTTTGATCAGACAACACACGAGGAATACGAATCCTATTTGGCAGATAACTCCCCCCAAGTAGCAGATGAAGAGGAAGAATTGTCAACTACCACAAAGGAACCAAACAGTAAGCTTGTTTTTACTTTGCATGCGATTACTTAGTTACACAGAGTTCAGTAAATTAAGGCATCTAACTATTAACAGAAGCCTGACGTAGCATATTAACAATGAAAGTTTCTTGTATAAATTTGTTTTTCCACAGTTAATTTTTCTTTGTTAAGATGGTTTCACTTATAAACGTTCAAATGCAAAAAAAAAAAGTTCAAAGTGTTTTTTTTTACTTTTAACTCCACTTCCTCATATATTAACATCTCCTAAGTTGTTAAGTGTCATCCGTTGAGTTGGTTCTGACTCACAGCAACCCTGTATAGGGTTTCTGAGGAGTGACTTGTGAGTTTGAACCACTGATGTTGCAATAAAATTGACCTTGCATCCAGTGCTTAGCCTACAGCTTCACCAGGACTTCTTAAAATATTTGTCAGAACAAAATACTAATTTTAGTTTGGTACTGTACATTTCTTCTTAAGGTAGGATAGTAATCAAAAGAATACTTTATCTAGTTAAAAGAATAAATAGGTGAATCGGTATTGAAAGTTAGTTAAAAGCCTTGCTAAATATCATTTCCATAATGAGTAAAGTAGTCAGAATTTTTAGTGTAGTGCAAAAATTGTTATATGCTGGTGGTAGTATGTGCTGTGGAGTTGGCTCTGACTCATAGCAACCCTCCATAGGGTTTCCGAGGCTGTAAATCTTTACAGGAGCAGAAAGCCTCTTATTTCTCCCTAGGAACAGTGGAGTTTCATACTGCTGACCTTGAGGTTAGCAGTCCGACTCATAACCACTACACTACCAGCGCTCCCAGTTAAATGGATAGACATGCTGCTATGATACAGCCTATCTTGATTGTGCTTTTCTGTTTCCATAAGTTATTTATAAAGAGAACCCTTAGGTCAAAGTGGTGAGACCTTACCAGATAAAGAACACAGGCTTTAGCTTGCTCCTTTTATGGCAAAAACTTAAGTAAATTTTGTAATAAAACAATTCATTTGTTCAAGTCATGTTTACATATTTTCCCCAAGAAAAGCCTTTTGAAAATTGATATCCTCTCCAATGAAAAGAATGTTCTTTTACAGAGACTTAACTGCTAACTTGTCTTTTTTTTTTTTTTTAATTACATTTGACACTGATCATCCCAAAGTTCTGCTCAGTTAGACTTTGTGACCTCACTGCACTATTCTTCTGATCTCTATAACCAAGACTTTTGTCTTCTGCCTCACATCTCATTTTTTCACATGGCTTTTATTAATCACCTCTGAAAAGATTACTTCTAATCTGCATGTTGAGGTTTGACATCTCTGATGAGTCCCAATCCTGCATTTCTGAGTATCTGCTGTTGTTAAGTGCTATTAGGTTGGTTCCAACTCATAGCAGTGCTGTATAGGGTTTCCATGGAACGTCTGGTGGGTTTGAACCACTGATTTTGCTGTTAGTAGTCCAGTACTTATCCTACAGTGCCCCATCAGGACTACTATTATTTCTCTTAAGGAGCCCTGGTGGTGCAGTGGATAAGAGCTTGGTTGCTAGCTATAAGGTTGGCAGTTTGAACCCACCAGTGCTCTGCAGGAGAAAGATGTGGCAGTCTGCTTTCATAAATATTACAGCCTTAGAAACCCCATGAGGCTGTTCTACTGTTCTACAGGGTCATTATGCATTTTAATTAACTAAAAGGTACAGGTTTGGCTTTTGTTTGGGTTTATTTTTTTCCAACATGTTAAATATCATCTTTCTAAGCAAAGTTCCATATATTTCCTACCAAGTAGCCCCTTACAGACTTTATTTTTCCCAGGTATCCAGCATATAGTTTAGTTCTTAATGCCCATTTATCTTATTTTCTTGGTCCCTGTTTCATAGAAGTGCTACTTACTGTTTCCTTATAGGATAGAGCAAGTTTACAGAACATTAGACAAGATTTATCATAATCTTGGTACCTGTTCTCTTTTCAACTTCTTCTTCCTAACACCTCACTAAACTTCCTCACGGAATCTCAACCACACTGGTTTTCTCTTAGTTCCTGTAGCATACTGAGCTTTTCCTCATCTCAGGGCCTTTGTTACATACTCTGTCTTTTACCTGCAACATCATCATATTCTCATGGCTTCTCATTTGTCAGTTATTTGATAATTGTCTTTTTCACTGATTATAGCAAAACTTCATGAGGTCAGATCTGGTCTCTTATTCTACATTGTATGTCCAGAATTTACACAATGCTCTGTAAGTCTCGATTATTTTAATAAGTCTTGGCAACCTGGAATTCAAGTCTGTAAACTCCAATTCTTACTTTGTTAAAAAAAATTTCTGATAAAAAATTTAAGCTCTTGTATTTCAAAGTCAAAACCTACCTTACAGATCATTATTAAAATCAGTAAGGTTAATTAGATGGTCTGGAAATATGAAAAGTTGATATTTTGCTGTTGTTGTTAAGTGCTGTAGAGTCAGTTCTGATTCATAACTACCCTATATAGGGTTGCCAAGGAACAGCTGGTGGGTTTAAACCATTGACCTTGTTGTAGGATAAGCAGTCTAGTGATATCCTACAACACCACACCAGCTATCTCTTGTTAATTCTTTAGTAACAAACAATAATAATAGCTATTTGATTCATTCTTTTAAAGTTCCAGTAACACTCTGAGATAACAGTTTTTAGCTCTGATAATTCTAACATAAAACTATCAGCACCATCCTCATTTTGAATAAAGAAAAATGTAGCTATAGAAAATGTAAATGATTTTTTTCCAGGTGTCTAAAGTAAAGAAGGAGCTCTTGTAGCGTAGTGGTTATGAATCAGGCTGCGAACCGCAAGGTCAGCAGTTCGAAACTACCAGCTGTTCCACGGGAGAAAGATGAGGCTTTCTGCTCCCGTAAAGATTTACAGCCTCGGAAACCCTTTACAGGGTCGCTATGAGTCGGAACTGACTCCACGGCACATAACAACAGCAAAGTGAAGAGGACTTAAAATATTTGTTGATGAAGACCAAAGAGCTCAGCCTTCAGTATGGATTGTATCTCAATGTAAAGAAAACAAAAATCACCACTGGACCAATAAACAATATTCGTATCAATGGAGAAAAGATTGAAGTTGTCAAGGACTTCATTCTTCTTGGATCAACTATCAACACTCATGGAAGCAGCAGTCAAGAAATCAAATGACGTATTGCATTAGGCAAATCTGCTGCACAAGACCTTTTTAAAGTGTTGAAGAGCCAAGATGTCAGCTTGAGGACTAAGGTGCGCCTGACCCAAGCCATGGTATTTTCAGTAACCTCATATGCATGTGAAAGCTGGACACTGAATAAGGAAGACTGTAGAAGAATTGATGCCTTTTAGTTATGGTGTTGGAGGAGAATATTGAAAGTGCCATGGGCTGCCAAAAGAACCAACAGATCTGTGTTGAAAGAAGTGCAGCCAGAGTGCTCCGTGGAATCCAGGATGGCCAAACTTCGTCTCTCATACTTCGGACATATTGTCAGGAGGGAGCAGTCGCTGGAGAAGAATATCATGTTTGGTAGGATCAGAGAAAAAGAGGAAGACTACCAGCTCATCAGTGAGTTCAAGCATGGCAACAATTGTGAGGTTGGCCCAGGATCAGGCAGTGTTTTGTTCTGTTGTGCATAGGGTTGCTATGAGTTGGTACCAACTCGATGGCATTTAACAACAACAAAAAGTATGAAATCCAATATAAATGAAAGTTTGGATACATGTGACTTGCTTAAGGAGTCGTAGTATGGTTCTATAGGATAAAAGACTTGCACCAAAAGTCGATTTGAACCTCAAGGTCAGTGGTTCAAACTCAGCAGCTGCTCCTTGGAAACTCTATACAGGGATGCTATGAGTCGGAACCAACTCAACAAAATTAACAACAACAACAACAAAGTATAAAACCCAATAAAAATGGAAGTATGAGTACGTCACTTTGTCAAACTAAAGCTAATCATCTCTCGGTGGGTTGTGCATTCAATTTATTCTTATTTTACTTATAGGTAATGGTGATAAATATGATAAAATCAAACAGAAAGCGTTTGTGGAGCCGTATTACAAAGATGATGAAAGGTAAGTTGGTCTTGATTAGTACCAGCGATGTGATTAGAAAATTACTACTTTAGTTAAAATTGAATGAATGTTTTCTACTTTACAGTCACAACAACAAAGAACTGAAGCATATTTTTAGGTTTTAAACAATTTAAAAAATTTTTACAATCCCCTTCTTTCTTGACAGTAGTAGTAGTAATTTTCTGTTTCATTATAACAATGATTTTATTTTGAAAATTGCTTGAACTTTGGAGATCTATTCCATTGTGTACTATAACTTTTATATAGTATAAGAACTGAGCTTTAGGCTGTACTTGGAGATTATGTCATAAGGAGTTTAAACATTTAAAACAAACTTTTAAGTACCTTGACTTTAAACCATGATGTTACTTTCTATTTTGTTCAGACATTACAAGTTCTATTTCATTTATGTATATACTGTTTTTGATGTGAATTAGGGTGTGGTAATGCATTAAAAAAAGCATGGTACCTTTTTTCTTCTAAGTTACTGTGATAGAAAGTTGAATTACTCAAAAAGTTACTCCATGTGCATTTTTTGTTGGTTTTACTGTATTTTACATGAAAACTAGCAAATTAGATTTTCATTCAGTGTCATTATAAACTTATAGAATTTAAGTATATTGGATGTATTTCACCCCATTGCCATTATTAGCCTCACTGATGTCAGATTATCCTATCTTTGCCCAATGAAAGCCTCTTTTAACAGTACCCTAAAAGTCTTTCATAACTTCCTTATTTTCTGGTAGGATGAAATGTTCTAGACTCTTGTACCCTCCCTACTATTGGCCTGATGTCTGCCTTTCTCTAGGAACCCTAGTTTATTTTAGTGAGAAGAGGTAATTAGGGCACAGTTTGGGCACTGAGGTTAATCGTTGCTATGGTTAGTCATTGTATTCAGAACTTTTAGGGGGACAGAGAGGAATAAGGTTTTTGTTTTGTTTTTAAACTACACTTGCTCATATTGGTAACTCTAATTAAGATTTAGGACTATCGGGTTTTTACTTAACCTCCTGTATCTTATATCTGTTTCCCATTTCCTGCCTGCTGAATATCCCACATCTAAATGGCACCAGTATAACTCCTCATTTGACTTTACTTGACGGGACATAAAGAGTAGTACAAAACAGAAACCTGCCAGAGAAGGAAAATGGAAATATTTCCCACTAAAGTGAACAGTAGAATGATAAGATTGCACCTTGTCAGTGACAGGAAACATGTGAAACCTGGAAAAACAAGTCCGTGCCATTGGGCTTGGGTATCGGAGGTTTCACTGTGTATTCTGATTTTTACATCCTTATCAGATATATACATATGGTTCCCCCAATTTTTCTTTTTTCTGTCTGTAAGTTGTCTCTTTATTTTGATAACTCCTTTGATAAACAAAAGTATTTAATTTTTATTTTTCATTTGCTACTCATGCTTTTGGTATAGCTCATGGATCTTTAAAAACTAGGCCCCATAATCTTTCTCTTACATTTTTCCTTAAAAATTTTAGGTCCTTGATCCATTTTGAATAGGTTTTGTGTATGGTGTGATGCTTGGATCTTGTTTCAGTCTTCTGTATGTAAAAAAAAAAATCCCATTTTCCCAGCACCATTTATCAAAGAGACTTCCCCATTGATTGGACATAGCACTCTTATCAAAAATCATTTGACCATAAATGTTTCCTTCTAATGTTATTTTCAGCCAGTTAAGCAGAAATAGGAACTATTGGTTATCTTTTTAGATACAAAAAAGAATAGCCCTTAAAAACACCTGGCATATAGTGTTATTGCTGTGTTGTCTTGTCAGCTGTGATGTATGGTGACCCTATGGTGGTGGTAGAGGTATGCCATGGAGTCAGTTCCAACTCATAGTGACCCTGCACAGTGTTTCTAAGGCTGTAAATCTTTATGGGAGCAGAAATACTCATCTTTTTTCCTGTGGAATGGCTGGTAGCTTCGAACTGCTGACCTTGAAGTTACCAGCCTGACTCATAACCACTATGCTACTGAAACTACCAGTGACCCCTATAGGCATAGTAAAAGTGCCCAGTGGATTTTTTAAGGCTGCAATCTTTATGGGAACAGATCACTAGTTCTTTGTCCTGTGTAGCTGCTGGTGGCTTCAAACTTCACTAGCCTTTAAGTTAGCAGAGACGTGTGTACCCATTGCACTACCAGGGCTTTTGGGCATATAGTTATCACTCAGAGGACTATTCCACCATTCATCTTTGAATTTGTTGTAATGTGGTGACTTGCATGTTGCCGTGATGCTAGAAGCTATGCCACCGGGCATTTTAGGTACCACCAGGGTCACCCGTGGTGGACAGGTTCCAACTGAGCTTCTAGAGTAACACAGATTAAGAAGAAGGAGAGACAGACTACTTGTGAACATTTAGCCACTGAAAACACTTAGGTATAGCAGTGGAACATGGTCAGCACCATAATGCTGAATATTTAAACGTTATGATTGGTGGTTGTGTGCCTTTCTGACTCCTAGGTTTTGGTGGTGGTTATGGTGTTAGCTGTGTCCGTTCTGACTAATAGAAACCCTATAGAGGGTTTCCGAGATTGTAAATCTTTATGGGAGCAGAAAACCTCATCTTTCTCCCACAGAGCAGATGGTAAATTTGAACTGCTGTCCTTTCAGTTAGCAGCCCAGCTCATAATCCACTACTCTACCAGGGTTCCTACCACAAAAATATTGTGAGATGTAGTACCGGAAGATGAGCCCCTCAGGTTGGAGAGTATTCAAAATAGAACTTGGGAAGAGCTGCCTCTTCAAAGTAGAGTTAACCATGATGACATAAATGGAGTAAATCTTTCGGGACCTTCATTTGCTGATATGGCACAACTCAAAATTAGGAGAAACAGTTGTAAACATCCATTAATTAATAATCAGAACATGGAATATACGAAGCATGAATCCAGGAAAATTGGAAGTTTTCAAAAATGAAATGGAATGCATAAAGATCCATATCTTAAGTATTAGTGAGCTGAAATGGATTGGTGCTGGCCATTTTGAATCTGATAATCATATGGCTTACTATAGCAGGAATGACAACTGATGAATAGTGTCATTCATTTTCAAAAAGAACATTTCAATAGCTGCCTTGAAGTATAATGTTGTCTGTGATAGGATACTATTCATACACCTACAAGGAAGACCATTTTAATACCACTATTATTCAAATTTACTCAGCAACCACTAAAGCCAGTGATGAGCAAATTAAAACAGTTCTACCAACTATTTCAGTCTGAACTTGATCAAACATGCAATCAAGATGTATTGATAATCGACCATCAAGGGAGAAGAGCAGTGTGCAGGACCTATTGATAATCGACCATCAAGGGAGAAGAGCAGTGTGCAAGAGAAGCAGTGACACCAGAGATGGAGGCAGAGATGATGACATGAAGCGATTGAGTGGCTGGAGACCTGGGCTCAGGGAGGGAGAGGGGCTGTGTGCTGATGGCCAGGGGGCAGGCTTGCAGGGTGTGCCCTTCGGTTGTTTAAATGGTTGTATATTCGTGAGTGCTTCAGTATACATCAAAAAAAAAAGGGAATGGAAACAAATGCTGTTAAATAATGGTGCATGGAGGGGATTGTAATCATTGCAATGAAATGAAATACGACAGGATGAATGTAAAGCTGATATTCTCCCGTGTAAAGTATTACCCAATTCACAATAAAAGCATTTTAAACAAAAGAGAGAGAGGCAGTTAGCCTAATGTGATATCAGGAAGTCTTGTGGGTGACATCTCAAAACAGTTTTTTAAAAAGATCAGCAGTCAAAGGTATTATTCTTTCTGATTATTCTTTCTGAGTGAGGGCTAAGGGTTTAGACATAATTGAGTTGTGAATGGAGGGAAGAGCATAAGTAATTGACAACAGAAATGTGTGTAACCAGGGAACTATAACCTGGAATATGAAGTAAGATGTAAAAGTGACTGGAGATGAGGTTAGAAGGAAAAATAGTATATTGTTATTTAATAAGATGTGGCATAGTACAATAATCACTGGAATACGAACCACAAGGTTGGCGGTTCAAACCGACCAGCCACTCCTTGGAAACCCTGTACAGGGTCACTATGAGTTGGAACTAACTTGACAGCACTTATTAACAGCGACAACAACAACCATATAAATAAATAGTTCTATATAGACTGTAAGGACCATTTACCATCACCAATAGCCACTGAGTCCATTGCAATATGTAGTGACTCCATGTTTTAGACTAGGCCTGCATATAAAGATTCTGTGTCTGTGACCTTTCGGAAGTAGATTACCAGGCCTTTCTTCCCAAGCAGTGCTGGGTGAATTTGAACAGCCAACCTTTCCATTAGTAACCAAAGCATAACCATTTGTACTACCTACCCAGCGACTCCATAGGATCCTATGCCCCTTGTTATAGACTAAACTTTCTCCTTTGCAGCTTGCTCACCTTTGCATTTTAGATTGTTAAATCTAGCTGTAGTATGAAAGGTAAATTTAAATGGGATAGTACTGGAAGCAGAGAGATGAGCTAAAAGGTTGATGCAACAAAGCCCTGAGAAGGTTGTGAATTTGATCAATGGCAGTAGGGTAGAAGAGATTCATGATTATATAGGAGGCAAAACATATAGTATTTGAAAAATTATTGGACATATGATTAGGAGTAGAGGAAAAAATTGAGACCGACTCTTACCTTTTTGGCTTGGGTGACTAGAAAGATGTTGGCACCTTGCAGTCAGGAAGTGATGAAATAAATTCCACTTGGCTTCTTAGAATTATATGAGATAAGGTATATGGGATGATGTTCTTCACTGGTTGGAGGCAGCTGGTTAGGAACTATAAAAGCAAAAGCTCAGTGCAGTGGCATGATCAAGGGTTTGATTTGGGGTTTTATCATTTCCTAGTATGGTAAGTTATCTTTGAGGCCATTCCATCTTTTCAAAATTTGCAAAATTAAAATGAAATAATGGCAGCAATTGTATGCATGGCACAGTGTCTGGCACAAATAAAAGATACAGACTAGTGAGTCCTGGTGTGGCACTGTAGGATAAGCACTGGGCTGCTGACAATAAGGTTGGCAGTTCAATCCCACCAGCAGCTCCTCAGAAACACTATATAGGATTGCTGTGAGTCAGAACTGACTCAGTAGCACTCAACAACAACAAACCTAGTGAAGGACCGGGTATAGGATACCTAGTAAAGATAGAATTGAAGGTTTTTTTTTTATATCCCCTTTCTCATGCTTCCAGAAGGTGGTGTAGAAATAAGGCAAACCAAAAGCAATCAGTTTACCTGCATATTCTAGTGGAGAAGCACAATTACTTATATATCCTATACACAAAAATTATTTGCCATTGTGTCAATTCTGACTCATGGGAATCTCAGGTGTAGTCATCCCTTATTTATGAAGATTATCTAAAAAAGGTTATGGATAGAACAGTCATAGAAAAAGAGAACCACTATGTTGCCATTGTTATATCCTGCCTTACTAAGCAGTAATGCTCTGGAATAAAATAAACAAAACAAGTTTTAATTGTCCTAGTTCCCTAAAGGGGCCATGGTGTAGCGCTCTAGGATAAGCACTACTAACAACAAGATGAACAGTTCAAACCCACTAACCACTCCTTAGAGACCCTATATAGAACCGACTTGACAGCACTTAACAGCAACAGCAGCAGTTTTCTTTACAGTACATTTATCATCTCCTCCTTCAAACAACGGATAGATTATTTTTCCTTTTTGAGATGTCACACTCTCTTTCCTGACCACAGCCTGGACCCTAGGCCCTCTCCCCACTGAAAAAGTGAAAGTGTAATATGTAGATTGTATAAAAGAAAAAAAGTGTATTGGTAATTATTGGTGATTGGCATTAAAGAAGAAGGAATCAGTAGTTTAAAAATATGGCCTTGGTGATAGAAATGATGCTAGAGATTGCATGATAGAATTTTGCAAGACCAATGACGTATTCATTGCAGATATCTTTTTAAAACAACATTAAACACAACTATACACATGGATCTCACCACATGGCATACACAGAAATCAAGTTGACTGCATCTGTGAGAAGAGATGGTGGGAAACTCCATTTCATCAGCCAAAACAAGGCCAGTGGTAGACTGTGACACAAACCTTCAATAGCTCATAAGAAAGTTCAGGCTGAAGCTGAAGAAATTAAAACATGAGTTTTAATTTAAGTCCACGAGAAGTAAAATATGACCTTGAACATATCCCACCTGATTTAGACATCATCTCAAGAATGATGCATTAGACACTAATAACCAAAGACCAGAAGAGTTGTAGGATAACATCAAGAACATCATACAGAAAAAAGACCAAAAGTCATTAAGAAGACAAGAAAGAAGGAAAAGACCGAAATAGATGTCAGAAGAGACTGAAATGTGCTTTCTAGCAACAAACTGTAAAAGCACATGAAGCAAATGTGGAAGGAAAAGAGCTGAACAGATCATTTCAAAGGATAGCTCTAGAAGACAAAGGCAAGTATTTTAATGAACTTTGCAAAGACCTGAAGTTAGATAATCAAAAGGGAAGGACACACACAGCATTTCTCAAGCTAAGGGAACTGGAGAAAAAATGCAAGCTTTGACTTGCAATATTGAAGAATTGTATAGGTAAAATATTATTAAATGATGCAGAAAGTATCAACAGAAGATTGAAGAGATACACAGAGTCACTGTACCAAAAAGAAATTGTTGATGTGCAACCATTTCAAGAGGGGGAGCATATGAAATTCCTATGTGTGTTGCTGTACATCAAAAAAAAAAAAAGAATGACATAGAAGCAAATACTGTTGAATGATGATGCGTGGAGGGGATTGTAATCATTGCAGCGAAATGATGTACTGTAGGATGAGTGTAAACTATCCTGTGTAAACTATCACTCAGTTCACAATAAAAACTTATTTTTTAAAAAAAGAGGTAGCATATGGTTAAGAGTAAATAGTATTGAAAGAAGTCCAAGGTGCACTGAAAGCATTGGCAAAGAGCTAGGCTTCAGTAAGTGATGGAATACAAATTAACATCTTTAAACAAACTAATACAGCACTGGAGGCACTAACTCAGCTATGCCAAGAAATTTGGAAGAGTGCTGTCTGACTGATTGGAAGAGATCATATTTATGTCCATTCTAAAGAGAGGTGACTCAACAGAAAGCAAAATTAATATCACATACAAGTAAAATTTTGCTACAGACAGTTAAAAAACAGCTGCAACAGTAATTGACAGGGAACTGCCAGAGATTCAAGCCAGGTTCAGATGAGGACGTGGAACAAGGGATATCACTGCTGACATCAGATTGATCTTGGCTGAAAGCAGAGAATAATGACTATGCAAAGGCTTTCAACCACATGGATCATGACAAGCTATAGACAACTTTGTAGAGAATGGGTATTCTGGAACACTTTATTGTGCTCATGAAGAACCTGTACATAGACCAAGAGGCAGTCAGTAGTTCTAACAAAACAAGGAGACACTGAATGATTTACATTCAGGAAAGGTATGTGCCAGGGCTGCATTCTCTTACCGTACTTAGTCTGTGTGTTGCACAAATAATCCAAAAAGCTGGATTATATGAAGATGAGGGGTGTCAGGATTGGAAAAAGACTTGTTAACAACCTGTGATATGCAGATTATACTTTTCTTGTTGAAAGTCAAGAGGATTTAAAATACTTGCTGATGAAGATCAAAGACCATAGCCTTCATTATAGGTTGCACCTCAATGTAAACAAAACAAACATCCTCACCATTGGATCAATAAATAACATCATGATAAGTGGAGAAACGATTGAATTTGTCAAAGACTTCATTTTGCTTTGATTCATTGTCAACACTCATGGACAGCAGTTAACAATCAAATGACGTATTGCATTAAGCAAATCTGTTGCACAAGAGATCTACAAAGTGTTCAAGAGGAAAGATGTCAGTTTGAGGTCTAAGATATGCCTGACCAAGCCATGGTATTTTAAGTAGTCTCATATGCATGTGAAAGTTGGACAATGAATAAGGAAGGCCTTAGAAGAATTGATGCTTTTGAGTTACGGTATTGGAGGAGAATATTAAAAGTACCATGGACTGCCAGAAGAACGAACAAATCTGTCTTGGAAGAAGTCAGTGAGAATGCTTCTTTCAGAAGTCAGGATGGTGAGACTTGGTCTCTCATGTTTCGGACAGATTATGAGGAGGGAGCAGTTCCGGAGAAGGGCATCATGCTTGGTGAAATGGAGGGTCAACAAAAAAGACGAAGCACCCCCAATGAGATGGATTGATGCAGTGACAGCAGCAAGACCGGGCAGTGTTTCGCTCTGCTGTGCGTAAGGTCACTATGAGCTGGAACTGACTCAGCAGCACCGAATAACAACAATGAATATTTCATGAAGAATGGATTAAGAAATAATTTATTTCTCTAGTCAAATAAAATGAATGAATGCTTTGGGATTTCTTCTTTTAGCTCTCACCTTTATTATTTAAATCCTTAACCAAGTATCTTTGTTGTGACAGATGGATTAATTTTAAATTTAATTCCTTTTTTTCCCTCAGGGAATCTAGCTTACAAAACTTTCCTCATATTGAGGTGGTTCGGAAGAAACAAGAGAGAAAAAGACTGCTTGGACATACATGTAAGGAATGTGAAAATGTAAGTACTAATGTAAATACCTTCCAGTTGTTTTTTTAAATTATGACTTTATAGATCATAAATGAATGGTATTATAGCACATAGATGCAAACTTTATTTGTATCTAGTAACCGGACTTGAGCCAGGAATAATAGAATGATTAATAGGAGGAATAATATACAGTATGTAGACTGTCAAATCTGTTCATCAGATGATCTCTAAATTCAGGTGAAATATATTCAAGGTCATTATTTTGGCTCTCATGGACTTGTTTTCATTTTCTTCCGCTTCAGTTTGAATTTGCATATGAGCAACTGATTGTTCCAGTCTGCCCCTGCCTTGTTTTGACTGGTGATAAGGAGCTTTTCCATCGTCTCTTTCCACAGATGTAGTCAATTTGATTCTGTGTCCATGTGTATAGTTGTCTCTTATGCTGTCTAAAGAAGGTATTTGAAATGAACAAATCATTGATTTTACACAATTCTATCATGAGATCTCCAGCATCATTTCTGTCACCAAGGCCATATTTTCCAGCTACTGATTCTTCCACTTTGCTCCCAACCTTTGCATTCCAATCACCAATAATGATCAATACATCTTGATTGCATATTTGATCAATTTCAGATTGAAAAAGCTGGTAGAATTCTATTTCATCCTCACTGGGTTTAGTTGTTGGTGTGTTGGTATTAACTGGTCTTCCCAGTAGATGCATGGATATCATTATCCTATCACAGCATTGTACCTCATGACTGATCTGGATATGTTCTTTTTGACAATGAATGCAACACCAATCCTCTACAATTTGACATTCCAGGCATGGTAAACCATGTTGTTGTCAGATTCAAAATGGCCAATACCAGTCCATTTCAGTTCACTAATTCTTAAGATATCGATGTTTACACAAAGGTTTTCGATTGTGTAGATCATGACAAGCTATGGACAACATTGTGAAGTATGAGTATTCCGGAACATTTAATTGTGCTCATGAGGAATCTGTACATGGACCAAGAAGCAGTTGTTCTAACAGAACATGAGAACACTGAATGGTTTAAAATTAAGAAAGGTGTGTGACAGGGTTGTATTCTTTCACCATACTTATTCAACCTGTATGCTGAGCAAATAATACGAGAAGCTGGGTTATATGAAGAAAAGTGTAGCATCAGGATTGGAGGAAGACTCATTAACAACCTGTGATATGCAGATGATACAACTTTGCTTGCAAATATTTACTGATGAAGATCAAAGAGCACAGCTTTCGGTATGGATTGCATCTTAATGTAAAGAAAACAAAAATCCTCACTACTGGACCAATAAACAACATTCTTATCAACGGAGGAAAGATTGAAGTTGTCGAGGACTCCATTCTTCTTGTGTCAACTATCAACACTCAGGGAGGCAGCAGTCAAGAAATCAAATGACGTATAGCATTCGGCAAATCTGCACAAGACCTTTTTAAAGTGTTGAAGAGAAAAGACATCAGCTTGAGGACTAAGGTGCACCTGACCCAAGCCATGGTATTTTCAATAACGTTATATGCATGTGAAAGCTGGACAGTGAGTAAGGAAGACCATAGAAGAATTGATATGCTTTTGAGTTTTGGTATTAGAGGAGAATATTGTAAGTGCCAAAATATTGTAAGAATATTGTAAGCTGCCAAAAGAACCAACAGATCTGTGTTGGAAGAAGTGCAGCCAGAGTGTTTCTTGGAGGCCAGGATGGCCAAACTTTGTCTGTCATACTTCGGACATATTGTCAGGAGGGACCAGTTGGTGGAGAAGGATATCATGTTTGGTAAGGTAGAGGGTCAGAGAAGGAGAGGAAGACCTCCAGCGAGATGGATTGGCATAGTGGAAGCATCAATGGGCTCATGAGTGGCTACAATTGTGAGGTTGGCCCAGGATGGGGCAGTGTTTCATTCTGTTGTGTATAAGATGCTGTTAGTTGGTGCTGACCCGATGGCACCTAACAACAATATGCAGACTGTGACCTGGGAGATACAAGTAGATGACAATGAAAGTTCTCTTAAATTTTCATTAAGTGTATCTGTAACTAAGTGTAACTAGTCTAAGGTCTAGTTCTTCTTATTACCAGAGTCAGTCATTTATGCCACCTTTTTTATATA